CTGGAGTTCAGATCAACGCATACTCATCTGTCGACCTAGGGAAATGCGAGGATCAACTTTAGGTTCGCTTATTAGGCACAGAAAGATGGTATGATTATCTTGTCCGTGTGTCTTGATATGCAACAGAGTTGTCTGCGACATCAGTTGCGCCAGTCGAACGGCACGAGCAGCTCGTACCCGCGGTAGCGTAGTATCCCTGGTGACATTCCGTCTGATGTCGGGCGGTGGTTGCTGGACAGATGGATAGCGTTACAGCGCCGTTAGGGAGGATGCACTTATCCAATGTGTCACCTCACATAGCATGTGTCCAGTGCTGCAGCATAGCCCTAGACTGAACGAAATCTCCGTCTATGACAGATAGTAGATTGGACGTGGGCGTAGGTTCAACTGACATGCTGCGGACAGATGAATGACAAAACGGAAGCTTCGGATGTCGCAGGGCGAGTGTCTTATTTAGAAGTTCTTTCGTACTCGTCGCCCCTCACACCGCAACCCCATCTCCTAGTCCCCATGAGTCAGCCCTGTCGGTATGTTCGCCGGCTCGTCCACGATTCTCTACCAGGTGCTGACATCAATACAGCATCTACCCCGTCATGGACGAAAGGCCGACACGTTCATCGTCCACTAACCCGGACCTGGATCCAGCCGGAGCCTCCTCTTCTACAGGCTCTCAGGATCAATCTCTCGAATCTCACACGATGGACTTGCTTTCGTCCCTGTCCTCCCTCAATCTCCGTGACCGTGACGATCGCCTTGATGACACCCCATGGAGCTGTTCCAAGCCTCCAGTACGCAACATACCTCGCATACGTGTGGAGACCGAGCTAGTCGACTCTGTCCACTTCATTCATCCTGCTGCCCAGGAGAGCCTGGACACACCTCATCCGGACACGAACGCATCACCGTCCGTGAACCTTACGTCCACCGCACCTGTCTTCCCCTTCACCGTTCATCGGTCGGTCGAGCAAGTAACACCCACGATCGCCAAGCCTGATGACATTGCGCCGACTGTCCTTGAAATTGCTCAGGCCATCGGTCATCCCCTCGGAGGCGTTCTGGTACCGCAGAAGATATATCGTCCGCACACCTTGAGTGACCGCCGTCGTTACGTTGAGGAGGTGCAGCTCGACTCGCCGATCATGTTTTACACGCATACCCCCGCCGGCTGCGGGATTATCCTCAGGGATGCCATCGCTACCAAGTTCATCACTTTGGAGGGACGTGACGATGCCATGTTCGTTAGTTGCGGACCATCGGTGTCCATCAGATTGATTGTAAGGGCCGACTGTGATCATTGCATTGTAGAGGCACATACTGACGTTGATTGCAGTGGCCTGGATACGCGCCTTGGAGCCGGCAGATCCCCACCAGGGACTTCCGTAGCCCTCCGTAACCTATCACTCGTGCCAAGCTCGCACGAAACGTGGCGAAGACCATCCAACGCTTCATCCAGGTTGGTTGCTTCCTGTTCGCATATCATGCTCATCGTGTTGAGTGCTTGCATTCTTCAGGAGATGGAGGGGCAGGAACAGGAGGACCCTGCGGAGGCCCAATGGCGCGTGGGCGTGAACGGTATTCAATTGAGTGACTTGGTCCTCGTCGGACTCCAGCATGTGTCAATGGGATCGTGGCAAGCACATGTTCGGTTGCTTTCGCGTCGTCGCTGACCATGGCTCTTTCACCTGTGCGCATCCTGTCACCTGCTTCATCCCGCAAATATCTCTTAGTCAGACACCCTCCCGATTCTAACCGTCAGTAGTTGCCCAAATGTACTACATGCGAACATGCCGACCAGTGGCAGGGGAACGCAGAGGCTGAGAAATCCTCGACCGTGCACATTGACACCGAGACCGATATAATTGATCGAATCCCACCGAACAGTTGCCTCTGCTACTCTACATGACCATCGGAATCGGAGTTCTTAACCTTGTTCGCCGTAGAAACTACAACCCACCGAGCGTAGCCTACGTATTCCAGAAAATATGTACATAGCCATCAATACGACTCGTTGAAACCTTTCGCCTCAATCCCATTCAGGGAACCCCACACGCGGCGTCACCGTCACCTCGAGTCGTATCCCTGCCTTGGTTACCGCCTTCAGTGCGCCGAGAAGCATCTCCCGGTCAGAATCCACCTCCACCTGGAGCAAAGCTTCATCCTCATCCCTTCGCGGAGCGCCGGGTTCTGCGGTCAGCGCGAGATCGGTGACTTGAACTTGTACGGCAAGCAGCCGGAACGACGGATATTTCCCCTTCCCGAGCATCGCTGCGAGCGCCTCGCACACCTCGGAGCAGTTAGAGAAGGATGAGTCAAGTTCGCGCATCCAGCGCACGGAGAGTTGCTCGAGGTGCGGGAACGGAGGAGGTGACTGCGCGAGGAAATCGACGAGGGCTTGGATGAAGGCGCTGTCTAGGCGGTAAGGAACGGGCATGCTGTGGAGGCGGATGGAGAGAGAGTGCAGGTTGGGGCAAGACAGCAGGACCTTGTAGGTCTTGTGGTAGTTGGCCAGACTGTAACCTGTGAGAGCCCTGAAGTTAGCTTTTGTGAGTCCCACAACGACAGTAGTGAGATGCATGCCTTCGTGAGGAAGCGATAGTCCGAGGTGGCGAAGTCGGTGACCAATGGAAGTGATGACCCGCGACCATACAAACAACGGGTCGTGATTTGGCTGCGGCTCTTCGGACACAGAGTTCCACTGCAGGTCAAGGGTGTCCAGCATCGTATGCATGCCCGAACGGTATAGGGTATCGGCAAAGTGACACAGAAGGGAAGAGGTGAAGGCACCGTCGATGATCCGGAGAGACTTCAAGGTATGTGGTGCGTCGGTAGGGGCAACGGTACCGGAAAACGGAGGGACAAAGATCCCCCAAATCGTCTCCAGCACAAGAGTTTGAAGAGAGAGGACCCGGCATAGAGCGAGGACCTCGACATCGCCCATGTCCATACACCGCAATGTGAGCGAACGTAACTTCGGGAATACCTCCCAGACTGGGACCGCTTTCCACAGTGGCACGGGACCATTATCCAGGCCCCATTGTACCGTCAGAGAGCGAACATGGAGGGATATGGTGGAATTCGAGTCAATGAGAGCCAGAAAACGTGTTTGTCTCTCCGGCTGTGGCACGTCCTCCTCCAAGTCCGTTGCGGCGATTGGGATTGTTACGTCCGACCAAAGGAGTTTACGGCAGGTCGGAAGCAGAGCAGTGCAGACGAGCGCACAACACGCGAGTGTGTGGAGATCCTTGTCGAGGAAAGTCACGATGTGCTCAATGAGCTCGATTGGCAGTGCAGGAGCAGTCATTGCTCGGATGACTGTCGAGGCCCGAGCTGCGTAGATGGAGGTCAGTGGCAAGGTGCAACGGCAATTCCCGCTCGGCTATGAAGCAGATAGCGCCTTCATTCTTGTCCTCCCGAGTCATCTCTGATCTCAGCAACTTTTACGACTGACCGTTCTCCGACACTTTGAAACGGCTACACACGCGATGCCAGTGGGTTTGTGTAGGGAGGGTCCATGTCCATGTCCATGTAGTCAGCTAACGTCCCTGTGTACAGCTGTAGCTACCGCACCCCAGTGCGTCGGTGGTGATACACTAGGGCCAGATCATTCTCTGTAAGTCCGTCGCGTAACAACCAACCAGATCCGGGCCCGCCGTCAACTCGTCGACAAAGGTCATACATTCGTAAGGGTCATAGGCAACGCAAGTCGTCGAGAGCACCACCGCGTCCATGGATGAATACGATCTGGGGATTGTGATCGCCTTGACCACGAGCTACAAGGCGGCATCCTATGCAGCAACGAGGAGCTCAATGTCGCCGGCCGCTGCGTCTTGCAGCTCCCGGATGAAGTCGATCAACTGCAGACCGTCGGGTATGGGACCCTCGGGGCTAGCAGGGCATGATCCGGGTGGACTGACAGGTGCGTCAAGGCCGAAAGGTATCGTCCCAGGAGCGCCTGGCGCAACGCCGCCGACAAACGTTTGGAAGAGCGCCGCGCTCTGGAACTGGCACTGGAACAAGCCGCTGAGCTCCTCGTTCTTTGGCGCCTCCTGGCAATACGGCACTGCCTCGCTTGTGGGCTAGACAGAGCCGTCAGCAAAGTGGGAAGGTGCGCAATCAACGCGAATGTCGTACCGTGTTGCGCGGCTGCTGCACGAAGATTTGTGCGAGCTTGATCATGTCCTCGTCATCGTTCAGCGTCTTGGCAAAGTCGATCATCGCGTCCGCTGCGTTCTGTTGATCGCAGGGTTCGGCCGCTGCGAGGAGTGTGTTGGACGCAGCGGAAGCGATGTCCCTGCATCGATCGCCTCCACCAGCGTTCGTCTGTGCATTATGATATTCATGTCAGTCAACGTGTTACATAGAAAGCATGGATAGGGATGCGGACTTACGCAGGCTTCCTCCCATCGTTCTGTCGCGTCAGTGATGGCTTGAGCAACTCGCCTCTCGAGCGGCGCTGCGTTCGTTGCAAGAGCAAATAGCGCGAGGACAAGGGTCACGGTGAACTTTGCCATCTCAGCGTGGTAGAGTGAAGAATTGAAAAACAACAAAAAGGTGGTTGCCTGAAGATGAAAGTCGACCGAAGACGAGTCCGAGCACAGCTCGAGGTGAAACCGGAACCGAAGTTGGAGGGAAAGACGAAGAAGAGAACAAGGAACACGCACTGTCATCCGGGTGTCTTATATGTGTGTCGAGCCGCCGACGGCCACATTAGCTCCGAAAGACGCAACCGTCAAGCTGACGTCTGTATACGACTGATGTTCCCTTGGATACATACGTCGCAGTGATCGAGATTGGGCGAGAATGGACGTGAGACCAAGATCATGAAGATGGGCCAGGCCAGGTTTGATGTGGCAGTCCTCCTACCAATCATCATCACCCATTCAGACTCCAGAGTCTTGGTGGACGGTCGTACATGCGCAGAGTCAGATACAGCGTCGGAGGTTGGAGAGGATACTTCAAGTTCGGAGTCGCGTGTCCGGGCTGGTGGTGGTGAAAAGAAAGGGCCCAATCGGGAATTGAACCCGAGCCGCGCGCACAAGTAACAGCAGTTGGTGGGTTATATGAAGCGCGAATCATACGACTAGACCATTGGGCCTCTCACTCGCTACGGCCGTAGACATGCCCCCGTAGACTCGGCAGTCCGAACTTGACTCCTCATCGATGTCGCTATGTGAGTGACAGCTACATAATCATGGATCGTACAGCTTACCTCCATCGACGCGATAGGATGGTCATCATGTGGGTAAGTACGATGTGCCAAGCACCTAGCTGAGGAGGTCGGGCCACGACTGTGTCATAGTAGAAGGGCCAGCCTACTTGGACGTAGGTGAAGAGTCGGCCGAGCTCTCTGTGCTAACCGGGGCGGTTGGACGGTGTGGGGACTGGGAAGCTGCTGCGGAGGGTAGTCCGACGGTGATACCCAAGGTGCGTCTCTGTGCTCCGTCGTGTCTATTTGCTACCACGTCTTCGTACGACCTAGCCTTGCTGCTGCAAGCAGCGTAATGGCGGCGACAAGTGATCATGGAGACGGGCTCGTTCACTCATGAGCAGCATGCTTCGATTCAAGCTAGAAGTGAACCAGTGCCTAGGTGCGTTGCCTTCCTCCCCGTTGCATTGTCGCGTTACAAGCTGTAATCATATGCTGCTATGGGCACGTTCCTTATCACCGTGAGTACTATGGTCGGAACACTCAAGATGCTCAATGACGCATGTTCTAGCGTGACGTGGAGACATGGACGCGCATGAGATGTGCCTGCCGCTGCACTACTGCATGCCCGTGAGTATTGACATGCCTTGTCATACCTGCCCAGTCCTCCTGCAAGCTAGTAGCGGAGTACTGGTGATTGCTCGTGCGTACACTTCATGTGCGTGAAACGCTATAATTACAATACATAATCCTACTGAAGCCCTTGTACGGCATTGATACATGCAATGATATCTTCATCATGTGCCATTGGCTCCAATACGATCTCGCTCGCGTCCACGACGTAGTCGACCTCAGCCTGAAAGATGTTCGCATTGACCCACCGCAGCGAAACGAGGCGCAGATTGGTGAGACTGAAGGGGGGGTATACCCCAAAGTCGATTCTCCAAGCCGGGTCTTCTCCAGCATCGTTCGTGAAGTCCCAGTTGCGCGCGTGCTGTGGATCAGATACTGAATCAGGGAGCGTACACGAGAGACACGAGGCAAGGGGGCGCGTACCTGTAGGAACGTGTAGTACTCCCGCGCCACCGCAACGGCGATAGAGCCGTAGGTCCCGTCATGGCTGATGAACATGGTGTGCTCATACTGGCGGTAGCCTGGCCACTAGAGAAGGGACATGACATGTGAGTCAGATGGATCAATCGCATGAGGGATGAGTTGAGAGAACGCACGCTAATGTGTAGCCAGAGGGGACAAGTGATGTGGGCGAGTGTGTACCACTGCAGGCCCAGGATCTCTAGGTAGGCCGGTTCGTTGCCATGCCAAACGAGGTCGTAGAGAGGAACGCCGCGTCCGTGATAGGTGAATTCAACGGGAAACGGTAGATTGTAGCGGTCGAGGGTGGAAGGCCACCGCAGGTTCCGGAAACGATCAGGTGTTTGACGCGGAATCCGTACGCGAACGAGCTCGAAGCGGGATAAAGGGAGACTGTAACCGAGTCGCGTCATCTGAGCGCGGGACGGGAACTCGTACTCTGGTGGGTAGAAGTACAAAGGGTCGAATAGATGCTGCTGGTGCTCCATCGCGCTGTCTGAGAGTGTCGAGTTCGGTGTAGGTGTTGGTGGTCCATGTCGAAGGGCAGCCTGCAATTTTTATACATCCCTCGCAGAGTACGCTTTGCCCTCCGTTCAAGCTCGCCGTGGCTCGTAATGTCAAAGCTGCAGCGCTATCGCGTCCTCGTGCGGGCGAGCGCAGGGGTGGGGAGGCGACCGGGAGAAGCCGAGGGCACGAGGAGGGAGGACAAAGGCTACCTAAACGGCTACCCTGGCCCAGAGCTGAGGCAATCACTGCGCCAGATACTCCGCGAGCCCTTTGTGCAGGTCAGAGGCTGCGTGGCGGGCATTGTCATCGAGCGGCGCTGGAAATGCGGGCGATGCTTCTGGGAGACGGTGCATCTCGTGTCGGGACGACGACGGTCATGTGCTGGCCTGTGTACTCTGTCAAAGCCCGAGTAGAGACCAGAGTCAAAGCCGTTTCCAGCGGAAGCCGTGATTGATCGTGTCTAACTTGAATGCGTGAGTAGTGGTGAGCCTGTGCCAGCAGAGGTTCCCAGGGTATATCTGGCACCACTGGCAGGTCGAACGTTTTCCCCCATAGCGAGCCACAAAAGTGATGCTTAACGCCCTGCACTCGGTAGTAAGAAGATGGGACTCACCTCGAACTGACCGTCCTCGTCTCCTGTCGACCACGATGAAGGTCATAGTATAGTTCCACGTGCACGGATTTGAAGCCGAGAGATTGACGCGTCCATGGTGACCTGCATATTTTCCCATTATCATCTGCGCGTATACGTTTGCAATCATCGGAAGCCTAGCATGCCAAACTTCCACGTTGAACCTGAAGGTAGCTGAGGCCGCCTCCACTGCCCAGGCGACCGGCGAGCAGCAAGGTTGAAGTCCAGTCAAGTTGAAGAGATGACCGGGCCCTTCCGGCCCGGACATGGGATGACTCAGCACAGGCGCTTCGAGGTCCGTGCAGTCCGCCTCCCAGTTCGAGTCGACCTACTCGCTGAAAACATCTAAGTCCTTCTAGTCTCGAGGCTGCGCGACCACTGAGCACCCTGGCCTCATCGGGATCGTACGCGTGGTGTGGCTTGGCTCACTGACTGTGAGTCGTGAGTTATCACGTCTACGACTCAAGTGTCCTGAGTCGGGATTCAAATTCTTAAACCTTGACTGATCTTAAGAACTTTGGTGACGAGAGTCGTGCTTGCAATGACGATGCTAGCTGTACTGTCTTCATGAAGCTACTCATGCTGTGGGGCCTGGATGCCACCTGAGTGCACTATCAGTGCCTTCCATAAAATCGCTACGGGATCATATCTGTCAAATGCGTCGCTGATGCTGGTACTACTACAGAAAGTCTACGTACTCATCCAGGATCAAGCGCGAATGAATGAATGAATGAATCTCCCGTTTATTGCCCGCGAGGGCCGAGCCCTATGGTAGGCAGTACATACAGTAATCTACCGGTGCTGTAACTATGTATCGGCGAAGTCGGTGCAATCATTGGTTCAAGCGCGAACACACGATAGAAATCAAGCGCAAGCCCTCCTCAAACTCTCCCTGCGCACGTATGTCGTCACACTCAGTCTCATGCATCGCCTTGCATACAAGCATCTATGATGCAACATCACCCGTGCTGTGAATAGAGTTCTCCATGGGAATGATGTGTCGAGTACTATGAGTTCACCCACAAGAAGATTCAGAAATCTTTCTTGCCTCGATGGACGCTTGAACTCGTCGCTGTAGGCATCTAAGGCATGTCATTCATCACCACCGCCCTCCCCACAAGGTTCATGAATGTATGCAGACGCACTGACAGCTTCGTCGTCCATCAGGTCGAACTGTTGGCACGACCGAGGAGTGAACTGAGAGTACAGCCCGGACCATGACCCATAGTCTTGAGGGCTGCAATGCATGCGGGCCATGGAGGGTATAAAGACAGCACCCGTGAACTGGTCCACTCATCGACATCGACTTGCCACATTCAAGCCTAGAGCCAGCCCTATCCACAATGTTCCACCCATTCGCCTACGCCGCGCTCGCTCTCTATTTCGCAGCTGACACCTACGCCAAACACTCGCTCGTCGGCAAGAACCCGACTCCTCCCACTGTGGTCGGCATCGACGTCTCATCCTCCATGCCCAGGTCCAAAGGCCCCCTCCGCCGTCCTCCCGGGTCCAGTGCCAAGTTCGCAGCAGCGCTGCACGCTGGCCCGATCCCCATCCCCCAAGGCGGCGCGCTCAACACGACGCCTAAGAACAGCACGACTCCCGCGTCGTGCAGTTCTGTCCCCGACGCCGACCCGTCCGCTGCAACGCTCTTGCTGTGCGAGCGGGAGGGCTGCGCGAACTGCATAGGGTTCGACCTCGCCGCGGCGCCGCACGACGTGTGCAACATCCCGACGGTTGCGAACTTCTCGTTCGTGTCCGTGGCGATCCTCCATCCGAGCGACGCGGGGCTGCCGTTCCAGGTCCTGGCGGGACCTGCAGGGTGCGACGTGGAGGTAGCTTGTGGGCATTCCGAGTGTCAACACATGCTTCGATGTGGGTGCGCCATCTGGAAACTTTGCCCTCGTCAACGTTACGCGGGAGGAGTGACGCACACATGAGGATTGTGAGTCGATTGGACTATGCTGGTGCGCCGATGCTGATTTCTATTTTTCCGTTGGCATAGGGGACGTAACCGGTTTCGACTCGTAGCTATCGCCCCTGTTCTCCATCGTGACCAGAGTCATCCATAGGTTCTGTCCCGCTGAACGTCTGTACATTCATGAGTGTTCCCCGGACTAGATGGAATAGTAGATGACTCGTACCGTACGAGATTTCCAAGGCCGCATGTACCCGTCTTCATGGCTCCACGACAATCTCAAGCCGTACCCCCTCATGCTCAACCTCTCCCAATCCCTCCTTAAGCGTCTCGCGCACCAATCGCAGAGTCTCCTGCAACGGTTCGTCCGTTTCAACACTGCTCGCATCCTGCGCAGAGCCATATCCTCCCATCCTTACGTACGCACGGACATCCAGCTTGCGGAACACAGGGTACAGCCGATGTCCACCCTCGTCCATCATCGCCAGTGCGCGCGCAAGGGCAGCGGACGCTCTAGCTAGGGCCGGGATCGGGAGGTCCAGCCCGCTTGTCCAGTTCAGCTGAAGCCGCTCCAGGTGCGTGAATGGCACAGGGCGTGTGCGGCCGACATGGAGGAGGTCGGCGAGCTGGTGAAGGAATGCGAAGCCCGTGTCGGCGTCAAGCGGGATGGGCTCGCGCTTGGGCGCGAACGAGCGGCTGTTTCGGATCGTGAGCGAGCGGAGGTTCGTGCAAGGGAGGAGACTGGCGTAGATGGCCCGGATATCGGTTGGAGTGTCACCTGGAACGACAGATCAGCTGCGT